CCTTACAGGTCTACAGTTCGAATCTCCCTACAGCCTACAACCTACGGCGACCTACTTACCACTGGCTATCGTGCAGGTCACGGGTTCAACTCCAGGGAACTGTGCAGATACTGTACACAGGTAAGCTGAGGTCAAGCTGTGCAGGCAATCTAACTTCCTTTATGGACTCCACTGATGCAGTGTACTTGGGTTTTTGTGTCCAATATAAACAATATGGTGTCACTTTTACACCCTCAAAATCCTTTCTTACCCACCAACCTCTCACTCTGCAACTTTGTTTTGAATATAAACAATATGGTGTCACTTTTACACCCTCAAAATCCTTTCTTACCCACCAACCTCTCACTCTGCAACTTTGTTTTGANCAACTTTGTTTTGAATATAAACAATATGGTGTCACTTTTACACCCTCAAAATCCTTTCTTACCCACCAACCTCTCACTCTGCAACTTTGTTTTGATCTTCATGCATCTCGTCTTCAGGTTGTTTCGTCCCCACCTCTACTACTCGTGTTTGTCTTCCCCCTTTGCCATCAGTCCACTTCTCTCCTTTTGGTTGTGCTTTCTCAGTTCCAAGCTTTACAGCCATTCTCTCCTTTCTGACCGTCTTTGGAGGGCAGGAGGGGAGAGGAGGAGGAACTAAGGGAGGAACCAAGAAAGGAAGAGAGGGAGTGATGCATGCTCCATCGAGCGGTGTATATGGAGCGAAGGATCTGCAAAGTGATGAAAAGGACTGAAATGGACAATGCAGCATCAGCAAAACATCAACAACCAATGTACATCCAGATACATACGAAAATAGCACAATGTAGCGCAGCGGAAGACTCAAAGATATGACCTGACCTGTCAGGTAGTGACACGACATTCCATCATACACCACACATGTGAGAGGGAGGGGAGGGACCACATACATAGATGAAAGGTCCATCCTTGATCACACACACGGGGAGATACGATGGATGAGGAGATGGGGGAAGAGGCAAGACGGAGATGGAGATGAGGGAGAAGACCAAGATCACTATAGCGACATCCAAAAATAGTCTCCCTGGGCCTCATAGCCCGATGTAACCTCTGCTTGTAACCTCTCTCTCTCTCTCTCTCTCTCTCTCTGAAAGAAGAAGAAGAAGGTGGAAGGAAGAAGAAGTGATGGATGGCGAGAACAGGAAGAAGAAGAAGATGTCATCCTCCTCGCTGCCTCACCTGCAGGTAACTGCTGCCATCCATGTACGAACGAGCCGGTGTGTCCTCTGTGCTGCAGGTCGCTTGGGAGAAGTCCAGCTATGGCGACCAGGTAAGTCCTCCGCCGCTGCAGGTATGGCGTCCGCCTCTCTGCCTACCTACACCTCTACCTCTAGCGCAGCGCTGTGTAGCGCAGCTCGAGCAGCGTGTTACCCAAGAAGTGAGCTACTCGAACTGTGTGTCTGCTGGTGTGCCTCTGGTCCTGGCCTGAAACGGCCTGCCTGGGTCCCAACTGGACGTCCAGGCTCTCCCTGCTGATTCCTCACCGCTACTGGATGAACACGAACCTGGACTGAAAGGGCCTTCCTGCAATGAAAAAAGCCCAAAACGTGGCCTCTGTCCGAACAGACCGAAAGTCTGTTCGGAGGAGTTGCAAGTCCGAAACGATGCCTGAACAGGACAAAAATAGGACAGCAAATAAATAAATAAATAAATGAATGCTGCCTCAAATCGGATCCTGCGGCCCCAAGGCTGGCTGTGGGCCTCCAGGGCGTGCGCCTGAATGACGTGCGGCCTGGGGGGCCCCCAGCAACCGCCGGGCCCCAAAAACGGGCCCCATGTGCAGGCTCAGAATGTAACACCCCCCGCTCCTTATGAAGTCAAGCCGGGCTGAGGGCGAAGATGACGACCCGAAGGTGGAACCTGGACGCGGGTATGGTGTGGAGCAGAAGGTGCCAGCTTGCCTTGTTGCTTGCGTTCGTAACGTGCAAGGACTACGGGGGCTATTGCCCGGAGTTCCGCACGGGTCAGCCAACAGTCAGCCTTATGGCTACAATAGGCGAAATGTACTAAGTACTCGGTCGGCTTGTTGCCATAGCTTCGCTGGGGAATGGTGTCGCCGACTTCCTGAAAACCATCCATGGAGGGTGGGTCTTGCGATCGTCGCCTAGGAAAGTCGTTGTGTTCTGCTGAAATGAACAGAGCTGAATTTTAACAATGAAAGACCGGGTGGACAGGCACCTGAATTACGAATGAAGGTCCTTCCGGTGTGTCACCAGCAGAAGCTACAATGCGCCAAGGCCCCATCCATTTGGGGAGGAGCTTGTGAGAGATGTCTTGCTCGAGGCTGAATTCCGCTGCGGAAACCCAAACAAGGTCGCCCGCACGACCTGCAGGGATGACGCTGGCGATTGGTTTGACGGCTCGTGCGCAACTGCGTCTTCAACATCTGGTCATGTGTCTTGACAAGGAGCTCTTGCATCAGTCGAATGAAGGCGAGGTCGGTCGTCCGTGGAATGATAGTGTCCAATGGCGATGTGACCAGCGAGCCATGCTCGAACTCAAAAGGGTGAAATCCCGATAGCCGGATGAATAGACGAGTTGTGGGCCAACTCGACGCCCGGCCGCCGCTCAACCCAATCCTGTGGTCGGGACGGATAAGAGTGAAGAAGAACATGTGCGGCCTGATGAGCCCTCTTCGTTTGGCCATCAGTTTGCAGGTGGCAATCGGAACTCGGCTTGAGAGATGAGCCCCATTGTTTGAGGAGACCACCCCAAAAGTCGGACATGAACCGAGTGTCGAAGTCTCAAACGACCACCATGAGAATTCAACTTCGCACCGGCATAAAGAACCTTGGCCAACTTCGGTGCCTTGCCGTGATAGCAGCAAGGCAAAAACATGGCGAACTTGGGGCGTCGATCGACCACCATGAGAATCCCATCCATGCTGGTGTTGTGCTTGGGGAACGGCCCGGTGATGTCCATGGCAATCGAGTCCCGTCGTCCTAAGTGGACCGGTAATGGCCGTAACTCGCCGAACGGACAATGCTTGCGGGATTTGCAACGACACCTCCCATGACTCGCAATAGTGTGACGTCGCCGAGAAGGCCGGGCCACCAAAAGCGCTCGCAAAGTCAGCCAATCGTATGCTCGACTCCAAAGTGTTGTCCAAGTAGACCAGCACAAACCGGTCCAGCATTGCGCGAAACTAGTTGGTCATTGCCGCTTGAAAAGTCGCCGGGCCATTGGTGAGCCCGAAAGGTATGACAACACACTCAAAATGTTTGTACCGCGTCTTAAACCCCACTAGTACCCCCGAGCCTGTTTTTACCGACCTTGAATTTCATTGTGCTTCGAGTTTTGGCAAGCTTGGCTCCCACGTCATTTTCTTTATGGTACTCTAACGGGAAGAACGAGAAAAAAAAGAAAAGAAAGAAAAGTTGCAGCTGTGAAACTCGCAAAACAAGAAAACAAGAAAACGGAAACAAAGTCTGGCCGTGATTGCAGTTGTATACATTCTTGGAAGTGGTAGTGGGAGTGTGCCCTAACTGATGGCATCTCAGCCCCGTGGCCAGATTTTTGGATTCCAGAAACACAAAACAAGAGGGAAAAAATGGAAACACGGATTCTGCCGTGAAAATGGCTGGATACATTCCTCTTAAGTGCCAATGTGATAAGGGTTACAAATCCTTTGAGGAAACACAGCTTGAGCAGATCACGGATTCAGATGGTCAGATTCCAAAACATGGATTTGCCCTTGGAAATGGCTGGATACATTCCTCTAGGTGCCAATGTGATTATTTACTATCCTTAGACTAAACACAGCTTGAGCAGATCACGGATTCCGCCCTGCCTCGTTGGAAGGGGACTCGTTAGAAACACACGGGAAAGAAAAAAATGAAATTAACTTTTTGAACGTGACCGTGTTTGCTGTAAGATGCATTTTGTAGAGGAGTGAGCATGGCCTCCTAGACTACCATGCCCAACATCATTGCAGTAAAGAAAATATTTTTTTCCCCCTTTTCCTTTCACGCACGGGAAAAAGAAAACTAAGATTTATGGGACCTGCCGACCATGGGTCCCTTGAATTCTTCGGGAACAGCCTAAAACTCTTAATTTCCCAACGCTGGCAGAGGTACTAGTGGTTTAAACTCAGATTTGTAGCGATCTTGCGGGTGTATCGAAATTTAATGATAGCCCGATTTCAAGTCAAATCTTGAAAAGTACTTCGCACCACGAAGCGTTCAAAAAGATCGTCAATACGAGGAAGAGGCTCCACATTCTTGACGGTTTGCGAGTTGAGCTTGCGATAGTCAATGCACAAGCAAAGGTCCTCGTTCTTCTTTCGAACTAAAAGAACCGGTGCACTGCATGGTGAGCTACTAGGGTGGATCCAACCCTTGTCCAACAAGTCATCGAGTTGTGTGCGGAGATCTGCGAGCTCTTCCTCGCTCATGCGATAGATGCAACATTTCGGCGGCACGACACCGGCGTCAAGAATGATCTCATGGGAAAACGACCGATCCGACACCACATCGATAGGAGACTCGAAGACATCGGTGAGCTTGTCAGCAACCGCACCACGTGGGGGTCCAAAGACAAGACCGTAGGTGAAGATTCCGTTGCCACGACTGTGCAAAGAAAACAAAGGCCGATCTTGTCGGTTTGCTTGTAAGCGCAAGTGGCCTGAAAAGACTTGGCTGTCACTTGGCACTGGATCGAAGGGTGCGGGAGAGGAATAGTGCACGGGACGGTAAGCGTCCGTCGATGGAAGTTGACCGTGCCATCCGCACTCGCGAGCCAAGGCATCCCCAAAATAATGTCGAAGTCCGCGTCTAAGGTGTCAAACGTAACATGCTCGCATGCATGTGGTGTGAAATAAACCGGCGCGACTTTGATGTAGGGATCAGGAAGTTGTTGCGTCTGACCGTCGACCATCTTGACTGTTGTAGGATGTGGCTTCCTTCGAACTTGTGCTCGAAGGCCAGACCTTTGTATAAAGGACTAGCTCATGAAATTCCGAGTCGCGCCGCTATCTAGCAAAGCGCTTGCCCAACTTGGATGATGCGAACATAAAGAAGCGGTGTGTTGTTGTTTTAAAACCCTGTGTCCAAAACTTGCGGGCCACCTTGGTTATATATGCAAGGAGGTGCCCCACCACGAATTTGTCATTGGTTGGCGAACTTGGTGGTGCATAGGAGGACAAATACGTGTGGAAATGGGCGCATAGTGCTGCACATTTCGGTCCCAGTAAGCCGCCCGTGGAAGGGAGAGAGGAAGCCATGCAAAAGCCTCGTTCGACAACGGGTCCAAGACCTCCGCGTTGAACTCGCGTGCTGAATCCTTTGAAGAACCACTTGAAGACGACAAAATGGCGCCGCTACCGGATGGAGTAGAAACCGCGCACACACCTTGTCCTTGAGCTAGAGAACCCAGCGATGGAACGAGCAGAGTAGCAAAGTCCTCGAAAGAATGAAGAAGAGGAT